TGCTACGGTTGAGGCGCGCGGTTCAAAATTTTTGCTCGTAAGAATTTGCGAATAAACGGGGCAACCATTGTGAATAGTGGAAATGGGTAACAGTAAATTGATTGCGGATAAACGGGGTTACGAATACCGAGGCTTTGAATAACGGGGATTGCCTGTATTAGCTCCTAAGTCTTTTTATGAATGTGGGGTAGTACTGTACATTAATTTTATATATCTCCATCACCCATGGAAACTTTCCATGAGCAGTGAGATGTCATGCAGTGATCATGTGGTCCATTCATTGAACAGTTGATCGGTAACTTTCCACTGGAGGGCGCGTCTCTATTTAGACCTTAGGTCAGCTGTAAAAAGCTGTTTATTTGCCCCCAGTGATCAATCAGCCTTCACTCAACCCCCACGAGAAACAGACGTATTGATAACCAAGCTTCACCGACAAGCTTGCCGTCTGATTCTAACATCCATAGCACAATTGAGATAGTTACGATGATATCCTTTTTGAAAGTGTACATAGAAACCTCCTTTATAATAAACAAAGAAAAGGAACATATTGGGTTTCATTACAGGAAACCAAAAAAACTTTTTACATGTTCTAGCTCTATTAACTAATCAAGAATCAATGGTTAAAGAGCTAGTTATAACATTCAGCGAGTGAGGGGTACATAGCGTGCCGAGCCGAGAGAGCGTAGCGCGGCCAGACGAGAAAGGGTGATGCGCCGTAGAAAGTAGTCTGTGATAACGCAAAACGAAGTAGTATCCGATCATCGGGATGTTAAACGAATTTTTGGTTTCTAAAGTTTAGTGACGTAGTACCGAAACAACGTTAAGCGGGACAACATTAAGGGAGGACTTACTGTATTTCTTTGTTCTTGGGTCATTTTGGGGTGTTTGGGCCATTAAACAGAAATTTGTTTTTTTCCAACCATGGGCTGTACCATGTACAGTATGTATAAACAATGTGACCTTTTACGGTTTAATGAAATTTTCCTCTTGACTGACATTAAGTTCTACTTTGAATCTCACTTCTTTGTGGTCACTGTTAGCGAGTTCGTTCCCTACATCGACATTACTAATGAGGTATTCTCTGTTTAACAGAACTAAATCTTACATATTTTCCCCCTGGTGGGTTCGGCTATATGTTGACTTAGGAAACAGTCCTGAACTGTTTCAAGAAAATCCTCTGTTTCTGAGTTACCTGTAAGGTCGATCCAATCTATTTTACTAAAGTTAAAGTCGCCTACTATACAGACTTTGCTATGTTTGGATGCCCTGCGTATTTCATCCCAAATAAGCTGTTCATTAACCTAATCAATATTAGGGGGTCTATATATTACTCCCAGGATTAATTTTTCCCAACCATCATTTAATTCTATCCAAATTGTTTCTGTATTCAGTTCACTTTTTATTTCCTTATTGATTTCATACTTCAAATTATCCCTCCTTCTTTCCTAATCTGCCTATCGGTATGAAATAATTTATAGCCTTTAATTTGGTATTCGACAGGTAACTCACATGAGTCTAAGTTTATCTATGTTTTGGTGAATCTATTATATCGATTTTTTGGGTACATACCAACTCCCTGATTTCATCCATTTTATTTCTCATACTTTTACTGTTTGCAAAGTAGACATTTAAGTTAGTTATGATCTGAATCCTCTCACTGTCATGTTTAGGTTTTAACTCTTCCTAATTTAGCTTTATCATCATTCCTAGCATGATTTCTCTGTAACCTTTCATTTTGTTTACCCGTGCCCACTGCAGTCTCCTCGACCCCCATGCTCACATGTTCCCTTAGCAGCTTAAAGACTTCGACAGCTTTGAACTGCCATCTCGAGAGAGCCAGCCAGGGTTGCCACCCCATCCCTTGCATAAGGTCCCTTCTGCCATAGAAGTTGTCTCAGTTGTCAGTGAATTGGACTGATATTGACTTGCAATATCTGTCAAGACTGCCGTTGACACCAACTGCCCTTGGCAACCATTCATTGCCAACTCTTCTTCTAGGCAGTCACATATGATAGGGATACCTTCCTTCATTCCTTCCTTCCTTCTAATTCAGTCAGTAGCTGCCTTGAACTTACCAAGGAGCTCCTCACTTCTACACCGTCCAATATTATTGCCTCCTTCACTGAGGCCTATATTGAGTTTGTTCCCATTACCAGACATGATAGTGTCCATCCTGTTAACTATATCCCCCACCCCAGCTCCTGGCAAATACACTCTCATCCTATTGCTATTTTTAGCATAGAACACCTTACCTGAGAATCTTCAACAATTAAGATTTTTGTACCTTCCTTGTCAGCCTTGTCCTTGATTGTGTTCCCATCCATTTTGTCTACCAAACAACTAAAAAAATTTGTACACTTAGCTGTTGTCGTTTCCTTGTTGTCTTTTTTCACCACCAGTTTGGTCGTACCGCTCTTGACTACCATCCATTGGCCTGTGTTGTCATCAGGCACAGACTCTCCCCATCTCGCATCTTTCTTCTTCATCTTCGGAATCACTTCATTTAACCTCAAGTTTTTGGCCTTGACCTTCACTAGCTTAGCCTTCAAGGAGACACAGCTGCTCACAACTATCACTTGCCAGTGCACTGTCAGTTAATCCCTGGGAGCTAAAATAAGAAAAAATTAAAAGCATGGGTGTGTACAGTAATCTTTGTGAGAGGTGAATATATGTGCGTAGGCAGTGTGCAGTTTGTTAACAGTGACTCAGTCGACTTTGAAAGTTAGGGTCTATTTCTGTTTAAAAACATTCACCTCTCGCATACCCCTGTTCTAAATTTACTTTATCCTCCTCGCCACTGATTGTCAAGTTAAATTTATACTGTTGACTGTACAAAGGCTGTTTTACTTCCAAATGGGACTGTTTGTACTTTTATTTCCAAGATTATAAAGCGGATACATGCTGCCTAATGTTTCCAATCTCAATATGAAATTGACCAAATCCTCGCCTCACCTCATGTTGCCACTCAAAACATATTTCAGCAACTGGATCTTCCTTTAGCTAACTTACATCCATAAATATTTGTGAACACTTCTTAGAGTCATCACTGTACCAATTCTTTGTAAAATTTTCTGACTGCTGGGAAGATCCACATTTGTTATGAATGAAGTACAGCAGTGACCTTCATTGGAACTGGGTTGAAAACCAGTGTTGCAGTACTCTTTATTCCTTCAAAGTTATTATTTTTATTTTTTTAAGATGTCTTTTCAGTTTTCTTTCCTAATAGAATAGTGAATTATAGCTTATGAAAAGGAGATTTTTTTTAGCATACTTAACAATAAAGGAAAAACTTGATCAATACTGTATACACATGCTGTATGAATTTAATAATAAATAGTTTATGTTAGATGAAATGGGAAAAGTCAGTTTGTAATACAGTACCGTATATCACGGCCTATAAGGCGGCGGGGTGCATAAGACGCCCCCCCCAAATTTCCATTTAAAAAGTAGCTTTTGAGCTCTATTTGCTGTATAAGACCAGTACCCCAAATGTGACACTTACCCACTGACTCAGTAGTCCTTTACCAACCATCCTTGATTTTTTAAAATAAGGCCAATTCACTTCAAGTAATGTCATCAAATTATACCCGCTGGTGTAGTGTAAACACTAGTGACGTCACTGAAGCGTGGTGGGAGTGTTCCCTCGTCTCGGTGGTGTGACTATTTATACAACATGTGGTTCAACAGCAACCACCGTATTCTAATTGTGGTGTTTCATTAGGATTTGAGTGAAAAAGGTTACCAGTATGTACTTACTACATACATTTATTACACAAATATATATATATATATATATATATATATATATATATATATATATATATATATATATATATATATATATATATATATATATATATATATATATATATATATATATATATATATATATATATATATATATATATATATATATATATATATATATACTGAATATACTATGTACAAAAAATGAATGTTCAATGAATTATTTATGGTGCATTAGGGTACTGGTCACTTCAAATGGGCTATAAATAGCTTGTTATCTCCCCTCCATCTCACCCTGAGCCAGACGGAAGGGTCTTGGTAAATAACATGTTTGCTTATTTTCCATTTACTTTAAATAGATTTACCGAATTATTTGTTTTATTTATTTATTTATAATATACTGTAATATATTAAACACACTGTAATTATTTTCTTTAATTTATAAACTGTTTTGCGACAAAGGAATGTTCTCCAGTAGTGTTTCATTAGGATTTGAGTGAAAAAATATTACGTACTTACACAATTGTTCCTCTTACTTTGACAACACAACATACATACAGTATATTATTTCTCAGTTTTGATCTTTTTTTTTAATTTTTGTATTTATTTATAGTTAGTTACTTAAAATAAGGCCAATTCACTTCAAGTAATGGCATCAAATATTACCAGCTGGTGTAGTGTAAACACTAGTGACGTCACTTGAGCGTCTGTAATTAACCGTCGATAGTTTCAAGAATTAATGCACTTTTCCTTTCTTGTCTCCTCACTGGCAAATGGGGGGGGGCGTGGGGAGGGGTGTGTGATGATAGCTGTGTTTATTACAGGGGTATAAATCTCTTTTACGGTATGTTAGACAGGTTTATAATACATTTTTATTATTTTAATATACCGGTAATCTTAATTTGAATCCAGCTTGCCAAACGTAAGTTTCAGTATAAAATAATTAGTGGTAAGACCTTGTGAGTGGCTTATGATGTTTTCATCACCACTCTTGACACACTAAACCACAATATTTAAGAGGTAAGAATTTTAAACTTGGTGGTTTAGACGACCCCCTAACTTTGGGCAGATTTTTTTAATGTTCAAATTTCGTCTTATAGGCCGTGATATACGGTATGTAAGATTCACTTTGCCTACCAGCCTAGTTTGTCATAAGACTTCTCTCTCCATTCACTGACGTTCATATTCAAGTATTTCTCATTGGTTGTGGTCTCTGGTCAACACTTTAATTTTATACATCTCTGCCACCCCAGAGCACCAGTACCTCGGTCAGCACATGGAGCAGCAGTATATGAAGGAAAGTTGTGGATTTTTGCTGGCTACGATGGAAACTTCAGACTCAATGACATGTGGACTATTCCTCTTGGGGTAAGATATGACTTCACTTACTGGTTTCATGACAGAACAGTAATACATTTAGTAAAAAGTATCATGAAATATAAGAAAATATGTACGATGAGACATGTTGTGGTTGGTGCCAGACACACACATTAAGATTACCAGTACAGGTGCTACTCTACTTAAGAATATTCAACTTACTTTCAGAGATACCAACATCATCACTGAGGGGGGGTTACCTGCCAGAACAGGTGTTTAATGTGGATGAGACTGGATTATTTTGAAGAAAATTCCAGACAGAACAAACATTACCAAAGAGTGAGCCAAGTTTTAAGGCTGTATTAAAGGGTATAGCTGTACTAAATATCTATAATCTTTTCATTTTTTACAATATGTTTGGTATCTACAAGAGTAAAGTTGGACTTACGAACAAGCCTCAGGAACGTAACTCGTTCGTAAGTAGAGGAGCACCTGTACATACCTATATTACATTGCCCTATTTAAGTGAATGGAATTTTGTGCTTGGAACTTCTAGATATTTTTTTTTGTAGTACTGTAATGGATTTAATACTTCCAAAAAGTATTTATGCTGTACTGTACACGGAAACTTAAAATATTTGTTACTAATTAGAATTTATAGATACAATAATATCTCTGTTAGCTGGAATCCCTCAAACTCGGAACTCTCCAATAGCTGAAATTTAAATTTGTGCAGAATTTTCTAGAAAATTCTCTCAATTCTGGGTTTGGAAACAAATTCCAAGGTTGAAAATCAGGTGCATTTCCTGAAAAATCCAAGAAAAACTCTGGAAAATCTTAACACATTTTTCTGGATCTGGGAATAAATTTTCAGGGTATTCCGAAAGATTGCGCTCCAACCCATCCCCACATGCCAGGCACGTGGGTGGCCCAGCTGCTTGGATCGCTTAGTTCATATTCTGCTGCCATTGTAGAAGGTTGTTCCCTCGCTAGCTGCTGTTTTTGTGTACAAATTTGTGTTTTGCAGTGCTGTACATTATTGTACCTGAACAATATCAGCCAAGAATACAGTGTTAAAGAAGTGTTAAGAACGTAAACAGAGATGACAGTTACGTATACTGTACAGTACTTTACATTCAGTAAGTGGGAAACACTGGGGCACCTCACCTTTCGTCTTTATTCAAGACATCTTCAGGTCATGAGACCCACTAATCCCTGACCCGGACAATGGGTGACCTGATATTGCGTCAGTAACACGACCCACTAATTTCCCACCCAACCTTCATTGCAAGTGTTAAGACATGATTATGGTTAAGTATTACAGTCACCTGAGTGAACAGTGTCTGCTGGTGAGTACCCATATAGTATATACAGTACTGTATAGTAGTACAGTAGTACAGTATACATTATTTTGTTTACAGTATGAACATTATTGTATGTGTACAGTGATGTTTTCATAAATAAATACGGCCCCTGTGAGATGCATTGCTTAGACTCGTGAAATTTTCTTGGGAAGCATGGAAAATACTACGCCTTTATCATATAGATACAGTATTACCCCGCTTTACACGGTTTCACTTTCCGCAATTTCTCATTTACGCGGTACCTTGCCAGAACCGGACTTTCACTTTCCGCGGTGCATCTACTCATATACGCGGTGAAGTATAATTTTTGTTTTTTTATTTAGCTCATAAAATTCATACAAATTACCCTGCCAGAATATAATTTACATTGCTGGAATTCTTACAATATGATGATCATTTTGAATATAAACATCATGGATTTTGCATTAGACATACAAATTTTAGATCTAATGTAATAATTTGGTTTACAAAAAGCAAATATTTTAGCTTTTGTGCAAAATATATGAAGTTTACATTCAAAATATTCCCTGGCCTGCAAGGAATTCAGAAATGTCAATTATATTATCCTAACTTTAGTCTGAGGTATTATTTATTACTAAAAGTTAAAATCTAGTTTTTTCACCCAAACATTTCTCTGGTAGGGAGGGAAGGTGGGGCGTGGGGGGGAGGGTTGGGACCGACCGACCCAGCTGGCGTGAGTGTGAGGAGGGGGTGGGGGGGAGGCAAGGTGGGGTACTTTAATTGACAGATAGTGTCGTGAAGAATATTTTTTTTTTTTATTACCTGAAGATATTTGTTTTAGCTCATAAAATTCATACAAATTACCCAGCCAGAATATAATTTACATTGCTGGAATTCTTACAATTTGATGATCATTTTGAATATAAACATCATAGATTTTGCATTAGACATACAAATTTTAGATCTAATGTAAGTATTTTGTTTACTCTGAGTAAATATGTTATCTTTTGTGCAAAATATATGACATTTATATTCAAAATATTCCTGGTCTTACAAGGAATCTAGCAATGTCAATTATTTTATCCTAACTCTTGTTTGAGGTATTATTTATTACTATACCTTAAAATCTAGTGGTTTTCCCCCAAACATTTCTCAGAGATGGAAGAACCAGCGAGTGTGAGTCCATATTTCATTTCTCTTAAGTAAATTGTGTGCATGTACCATCATAAAATTAAGATGTTATTTTACTAGAACATAGGTATTGTGCAATGGAGTTTGGGGGTCAGCGGTCTCATTTCATTTAATCCCATGTTATGTTGTTCACTTTACGCGTCAGCTTTTACGCTGGCCTCCGTGGTTTCAATTGACCGCGTAGTAGGTTCACTGTGTATATATATATATATATATATATATATATATATATATATATATATATATATATATATATATATATATATATATATATATATATATATATATATATATATATATATATATATATATATATATATATATATATAATAATAAAGGTACCCCACTTAACGCTGTAATTGAACCCAGAGGGTCCTGCTATGAACTGCTAAGGAACAACAGAACATATGGGATTAATTCCAATAGAAACCGCCCGACCCCCAAACTCCACTTTTTGAAGGCACATACCTATGTTAGTAAAAATAACATCTTAATTTATGATGGTACATGCACACAATTAATACTTAAGAGAAATAGAGAAATAGTCGCTGTAATGTCCATTCAAATAATGGACTCAACTCCTCCCTCTCACACACTACACAGCCGGGTTAACAGATGGTCGGTCGGTCCCTCCCTCCCACCCCACCAACCGCCCCAAGGAGATGTGGGGATAACCTCAAACTAAAGTTAGGAAAATATAATTGATATTGCTGATTCCTTGTAAGACCAGGAATATTTTGAATATAAATGTCATATAATTTGACAAAAGATACCATAGTTACTCCTAGAGAAAAATTTTATCTAAAAATTGTAAGTTTAAAGCAAAATATATGATGTTTATATTCAAAATGATCACCAAATTATAAGAATTCCAGCAATGTAAATTATATTCTGACCGGAATTTGTATGAATTTTATGAGCTAAAACAAATATCTTCAGTTAATAAAAAAAATAATCTTCACGACACTATCTGTCAATCAAAGTACCCCACCTGCCTCTTCCAACCCAGGGTCAGTCCCAACCTCCCCCACCCCCCACCAATCTCCAGAGTTTTTAACATTTAGTATTAAATAATACCTCAGATTAAAGTTAGATAATATAATTGACATTGCTGATTCCTTGTAAGACCAGGAATATTTTGAATATAAATATATTTTGGACAAAAGATCATAGTTACTAGAGAAAAATTTTATCTAAAAATTGTAAGTTTAAAGCAAAATATATGATGTTTATATTCAAAATGATCACCAAATTATAAGAATTCCAGCAATGTAAATTATATTCTGACCGGTAATTTTGTATGAATTTTATGAGCTAAAACAAATATCTTCAGTTAATAAAAAAATAATAATTCTTCAGGGTAGATGGTCGGTCGGTCCTCCCCCACCCCCCACCAACCGGCCCAAGGAGATGTGGGATAACCACTAAATTTTAATAAATAATACCTCAAACTAAAGTTAGATATAATTGACATTGCTGGATTCCTTGTACCAGGAATATTTTGAATATAAATGTCATATAATTTGGACAAAAGATACCATAGTTACCTAGAGAAAATTTTTTATCTAAAAATTGTAAGTTTAAAGCAAAATATATGATGTTTATATTCAAAATGATCACCAAATTATAAGAATTCCAGCAATGTAAATTATATTCTGGCCTGGTAATTTGTATGAATTTTATATATATATATATATATATATATATATATATATATATATATATATATATATATATATATATATATATATATATATATATATATATATATATATATATATATATATATATATATATATATATATATATATATATATATATATATATATATATATATATATATATATATATATATATATATATATATATATATATATATATATATATATATATTAATAATAGTATTACTCCTAGCATTATATGTAATTACAGTTGCCCTTAGCGGTCAATTGAACCCAGAGGGTCGCGTTAAGTGAACATCGCGTTAAGTGAACAACAGAACATATGGGATTAATTCCAATAAACCGGCCCGACCCAAACTCCACTTTTGAAGGCACATACCTATGTTGTAGTAAATAACATCTTAATTTTATGATGGTACATACTTAATAATTAATAGAAATACAGTGCAAGTTAATGTCCATTCAAATAATGGACTCAACTCCCTCCCTCTCTCACACTACACTCGCTGGCTCTTCCCTCTCAGAGAAATTTTTTGGGGAAAACCACTAAATTTTAATAAATAATACCTCAAACTAAAGTTAGGATAATACAATTGACATTGCTGGATTCCTTAAGACCAGGAATATTTTGAATATAAATGTCATATATTTTTGCACAAAAGATAACATAGTTACCTAGAGAAAAATTTTATCTAAAAATTGTGAGTTTAAAGCAAAATATATGATGTTTATATTCAAAATGATCACAAATTATAAATTCCAGCAATGTAAATTATATTCTGACCAGGTAATTTGTATGAATTTTATGAGCTAAAACAAATATCTTCAGTTAATAAAAAATAATAATCTTCACGACACTATCTGTCAATCAAGTACCCACCTTGCCTCCCCCCTCTTCCAACAGCAGTCGTCAACCCTCCCCCCACCCCCCACAATCCTCCCTTCCAGAGTTTTTAACATTTAGTATTAAATAATACCTCAGATTAAGTTAGGATAATATAATTGACATTGCTGGATTCTTGTAGACCAGGAATATTTTGAATATAAATGTCATATATTTTGCACAAAAGATACCATAGTTACCTAGAGAAAAATTTTATCTAAAAATTGTAAGTTTAAACAAAATATATGATGTTTATATTCAAAATAATCACCAAATTATAAATTCAGCAATGTAAATTATATTCTGACGAGTAATTTGTATGAATTTTATGAGCTAAAACAAATATCTTCAGTTAATAAAAAAAAATAATAATTCTTCACCACGGTAACAGATGGTGGGTGATCCTCCTCCCCCACCCCCCACCACCGTCCCAAGGAGATGTGTGGGATAACCACTAAATTTTAATAAATAATACCTCAAACTAAAGTTAGGATAATATAATTGACATTGCTGGATTCCTTGTAAGACCAGGAATATTTTGAATATAAATGTCATATATTTTGCTAAGATACCATAGTTACCTAGAGAAAAATTTTTATCTAAAATTGTAAGTTTAAAAGCAAAATATATGATGTTTATATTCAAAATGATCACCAAATTATAAATTCCAGCAATGTAAATTATATTCTGCCTAGTAATTTGTATGAATTTTATGAGCTAAAACAGGCAGTCAGGCAGGGTGGCGGGTGGGGCAAATCTAAAAATAGCGTCTCGGACACTCACCGCGTATATGTGGAAAAAATCCGCGTTAAGTGAAAGTTCAGCTTTGGCAAGGCACGGCGTATGTCACAGCGTTAAGTGAAACCGCGTTAGGCGGGTAAAACTGTATTATGAAAAA